ATTACTTTGCTTCCAAAAAGAAAATTAAACTAATTCACTGTTCATGAGCATAAAATTAAAAACTTAGACAATTGAGCTATTTGTAATAGCCAGGGGAAAAAAAAAAAAAACAACCTCATACTCAGTTTTAAAATTAGTACTGCAGAACACAAAGTGAGATTTATTTTAGTTGTGTTACAGCCTTATTACACTGAGTAATACAGACACATTTAGTGACAACATTATAGCCTTATCATTTTGATAAATCCATAAAGCATTGCATTATCTCTAACAATGCAGTGAAGACTGAGCTGCCAGGCAACATGGAAAGGCAGTATCCTGCTACCGAGGTGGACACTTTTGCAAGACATGTATTAAAGCCACTAATTTTGGACAGTTACAGAAACTAGACCTGGCTGCAAAGTAGGTGTGATAAACAAGCACCTGAACTTCCACAAAACTTAAAGATGTTTTCATTCAGGATTTTGATCCAAGATGAAAGTACTAACACATTAAAAGAGCTTGAATCTCTTTGCTTAAGATGCACTGAGGAAACTCTGGAGGGATGTCTGTTGCAGAGCTACCCAGCTTTTGGAAAGCAAAGATTTTGCCTCTTCAGCCCCAAATAGAAGACTCAGTCTTCTCATTTCTGTCTTGCTATTCACAGAGGGATCACCTGTAGTTTCTTCAGAACCACCAGGTACTCCTTCAGATGCTTATTTCACAGTTGAGAAGATGTAGCTTCAAGGTCATAAAGCTTTGATGTCTTCAACAAAATCTACAGAGTCTTGTAAGTGTATGCAAGGCCACTTATCAGAGTGTCTGACAACCATAGCCTAGTACTGAAAATACTGAACTCTGAAATGGCATTTGCCATTGGTAAAGAGACTTCAAGCAAAAATGCGCTAGCCTGTCAAAGCTCCGCAAGTTCAGATGTCTCCAGATTAACCTAGAAATCACCAGCTACTATGAAGCTTCAGGTAATTTTAGCCTAAACAGTAAGATATAATGAAAGATGCTAACAAGATAACAATGGAAGACGCGAATCACATTTTTTTTAGGCAAAACATTCCCTCCAGTTTAAACTCACTTAGAACAAGCAATGTTAGTGGAAACCAAGTGAACTTTGTCAATTTATGGATTTAAAATTAATAGCTTACATTGAAAACAAACCAAAAAAATGTTTATAAGACATGCAATGAACTTCAGGGTTTTACAATCTTTTCTGCTTTCTGAGTACTGACAGAAAATCAGCAGGAACAACTGAAGAGAAACTGAAAGGAAATATCAATTGGGAATACTGAGACATTTTTTCTATTTTTTCCCCATTCTTCCTCAATTTAACAGTGTTTGTTAATTTCAGCACAGAATGTTTTTATTATTTCTATAGTTTTTTTCAAAGTCCCTCATGAAACTTTACTCCTTTAATCCTCTTACTCTTCCCTAAAGCAGGTATCTAATCTTAGATCTGTTTTACAGATAGGGAAAACTGAGTCATAGTAACTAATTTGCTTGTTACAGCCCCCCAAAAATGATGTTTAAGTCTGAGGTTACAGTCTATCCCATCTTTCTGAGTCCCCGTTCTATTTTTTTTACTATCAATAAAACATTGCCTCACAAATTTGTCTCCATAATTGTAATCTAAAACCGCAAGCTTTAACTTTATCCTATAACTTCTATTTGTACTGACTTTCACATCATCTTCTATTTCAAGTGTGCAGACGTGCACTTGAACATTCTATAATTAAAAGAGACATTCACTTACAATTAGTATATGAAAATTACAGAGAGGGAAACAATGTTTTAAGTACAGTTTACTATACAATTGTCTTAAATACAACGGTAGAAATGACAAGTTGCCATGCCTAATGATTTTTCTCTGTAGAGAACAGATCTCTTCCAGCAAGCCCACATCCTGCTCCATCTTTCTGCTGAAGTATAGGTGGAAATCGTTTCACATTTTCAGCTGAAATGTAAGCCCTTCGCGGATTTGAATGCTGACATGAGCCACATCATACTATGCTGACGCATCTTTAAGTGAACATATACACTTTAGTGCACGTTATTGTAACCACCTAGTCCTGAAAGCTGCGTCTTGTCTAAGGGTCTAGCACAGTAGTGAGAGAAACAAACTGCTAACAGATTGCCAGCAGGTCAAGCAACAGCAATGATTTCCCACCTTTGTACTAGTAAGTAAGCATGCATGTAATGCAGCTGGATTGTCTTTCCCAGTATTTCTGCATCTCTCAACTTACAGATGACCTGGTTATGTTTCACACTAACAAACTTATGTGAACAACTCCAAAGCCCCTAAAAACTCAGGTTACGCATGGAAAGCCCACTATACCTCAAAGTTAGCCTTTGAGCAGGAAGTTGGACTAGACAAGCTCCAGAGGTCTGGTCCTTCCCCACCTGAATTAACCTGTTCTATGAAGCGGAAGTTCAAAGTACCATCCAGCATACATTCCGTTCGACAAATTCAGTTCCGCTATAAGACTGCAGAAGCAAGAATTTACAACGTTTAGAGCAATTCATTTATCTGTAGCTCATAAAACATGTGTACTCTATTAATGCTGTTAAGGAGTCTCCTGTCATAAAAGCTAACCAACAGTAGACTTAGCTACACCTGTGACTACAGTTTGCATCCAAATGAATTAAAAATACAACCAAAACCTCCCTGGGAGAAAATAAAAAGTCACTCCAGAGAATACATGAGTAACTAAAAATTTGTTTTCATTGCATTTATTTCTACAAGTTTGTGTCTCGATACATCAGTGATGCTTACTCTTTCCTTATAATCCCCATCTGAGTTCTGCTTCTTTTAACAGATGGTCAGTACTTGATGAAGTCACTTGAACTTCAACAGGACTTGGCCATCACTAATACTCATCGAAAAATCTTTCCAGTTGCTTTGTTCATTGAACCATAGAAATAGACTTCCTTAATAGAGTTTATATTAGGATAATGAGCCAGAAAGCTGACCAGTCAGATTACCTTAAGCAGCAGTAAGTGCAGTATCACCATTTACAGTAGCTGTAGGATTCGTTGTTCCAGCTCAGTAGAATATCAAGAATTGCTTTAGTTGTTTAATTGCCCCTCTGATTTTAAAGAGTGAAAGAACACAGTAAAAACTAAGCGAACTCCTTTTTAGTGAATATAAGTATAAAATATTTTCATTACTTCTATCTAAATATTTACTTAACTAAAAATCCACATAATTTCTGAACAAAGCAATCAAAAGAAAATTACAATTAAAAAGAGCAGCTAAAGCTTTATGTTATGGGTATTGTGACAGCACAGTGACAGGACCTTTACAAACACAAAACATCTTTTCACAGTTCTGCTTATGTTGACTTTCATTTCCATGCTCTCACCTTCTGTCTCCCCCGCTTAGGGAAAAAAAAAATGAAAGTGTGTGTATACGCGTGTCCAGAAGCAATGATGGAGGAACCTTTAGAAATTCAGAGGGTTCCCAGGCTTCCCACTGAGGAAGCAGGATCAACCTTGGTAGAATAAAGATATTTAGAAATGTGAGGTTGCCTGGAGTAGAGAAGTCCCCTAGCTACACATATGGTTCAGGCTTTGGGTCTGCTGGGTGACACACATCTGAGGGTCACAGACACTCACTAGGCAGGACAGCAGAAGTCCAAGGATCAGAAGACAAACATCCCAAGCTTTGCGAAATTTACCTTGTGTTTTCTCCCCTCAAACACAGGTTTCAGTGAAGTGCTTTTTCACCAGTCCCAGAGCAGTCTACCTGGCAGGAATATAATGAATTTGATGAGCTTGGCCTAATGACAGATTTCAAAAGGAAGCCAGGAGCTAAGCACTTCTGATGGGTGTAGATTTTAGTCTATCTGTGCTCTTGTTCTTCCTCTGTAAAATAGAGATATCCGTAATTCCTACTATATCACAAATGAAACGGAAACCACTATACTAACAGACTGTAGAGATGCTGTGACATGCAAATAAGTGTAGCATATAGGCAGCTTACCTAAAATGAAGTCACTCAATTTTAAGACATGGTGTAAATGAAACATTGCCAGCTTTTGTATTCTTGATCTGCAATTCTCAGTTTTAAAAAAAAAAAATACATGAACATGATAGTCATTTAAAACCTCAGCAAATATCAAAAAGAAGTAGCCAGGTTTCAGCTGAGGAAAAGTTGCCTTCAGTTCTGCATCGCTCTTAGGTGCATGTTTTCACACAATTATTATATTCACAAAGAGCAATCACAAAGGATTGTGCAATGCTCAGTAGGCTATGACTTTGATGAGAGAAGGTCTGCAGGTACCATCAGGATATAAACAACAGTATTGTCCAATGGGGTAGAACATGCAAGCAAATGTGCATTGGTGTTTTATGTGACCGAGGCCTGATCCCACCGATTAAATTCCTGGTTGGAGGGTAGATTTCTCGTTGTCTTACATAGTACCAAATTTCACCCATGTATTACCCACCGTTAACCAAAGGAAAACTGGTCATTCCATCATCATATAAACTGATCTCGCTGTGACTTGGCAAGAAGTCAGAGCAGTGATGATATTGACCCTGTGAGAATATTATGTCTAATGCCCAGAGGCATTAACTTTTATTTAACCAAAAGGTAAATCTCTTGATGAAAGGCAACATTTTATTACTATCCACCTGCAACTAATAGCTGATTTCTTACTACTATAACACAACTGCTGGTACTGAAGAGCAAAACTTGCACTTTACTTTCAGAGGCTCTTGAGTAATTCATATTGAGGTCATGTAATGATAAAGTCCTGCAAGATGTTATGCCCAGCACAGAGAGCTAAATGTAGTGGCTGAATCCTAGAGAGAGAGAGACAGAGGTTGTGAACAAATTACCTTTAGTTAAGACTACTGACCAAGCTGCAGGAAGAAGATGGCCAAGCAGGAAAGATGTACCTGACTTCTGGGGAGTATTGATCCTTCCCATTAATAATTTTTAATGAGAGAACCTACATAAAAATGAGTAGTCGTTTTTATTTTCTCAGTTCAGAAACAGCTGAAAATCATAGAGCTGGTATTTTTCCATGGCATTTGAATTAACTACTGGCAAGATTATGTTGCCAAAGGCCCATCAAGTGCAATCTCACCCCAATCACCAGTGTTTGCTTCATCCTTAGGAGTCTCTCGTGTTTTGAGACCATCTTGCCTTTAATCAAACACATTAAGCCAGATCTTTCTTTGCATATTTCTCTGCTCTGTAAGATCAAGTTCTGCTCATAAGCATGTATCCCTGCGTTGCCTCATGACAGATGATTTCCTGCAGCATTCTGCATATCCAGTTTGGTTGTACCTGCTCAATGTCTACCACAACACAGTACCAAAGTTATGATATTTTTCCAATACAGTTTATTTTTCTTTATTAAAAACAAATGTCATTGAAGTTTTTGAAATCTATAGGCCTACATGGTAGGCTGCAGGAAACAGAACTGCTTTACAAATTTATTATTCTTTAATGTGTTTGTTAACAGAACATTGAATCTGCGTAATGCTTTCTTCACAAGAATCTCTCAGATCTCCCCTTAATATTTCTTGCCAACCTCAACTATCAGCTTTTGCAATTACAAAATGGAACATGAACTAAGTAACAATGCAGCTTAAAGTTCCAGAGTTAGAATCTTGCATAAAACTTTTTATTATGATGATTTTGGAAAGTGCATCTGCTCTTTCAAAACCTTTTAATCATGGTGATCTCACACACTGAACTGCTGTCTAAACAAAAGCCACCCATTTACTGTAAAGCTACAAAGTAGACAAGAAAAACAATCAGCTAAGAGATAGCAGTCCTCTTTGTGCCAATGCTGCCAGCAAAGCTCTAGTGCAAATCAGATGCCTTAATGGAGAGAATTTTTAGCAGCCTAAAAAGAAGCAAGAGCAACTCAAGTGTGTTTCTGAACCTCACTTACAAAACCAGTCTCATATACTCTAAACTCTCACTTGCTCTTTTTAACCCTTGGGCTCCTGTGTTTTCTTTTTTATTTTCTCAAAGAAAGGAATGTGAGAAAGATGTCTATTAGATTCCTTCACTCAGCCTGAGGGTTAATTACTCAGTTTGGTAGACATTTGAAAATATTATGTTACCTCTAACGGCAAAATTGATAGAAGCTTTTTTCAAGCTCACTTTATGTCATTATGGCAGATTAAATTAACTAATCATAAATTATTGGCTAAAGTACATCTGCTATTCACTAAACCTGTAGAAGGAAGGGAAGGGGTTTTTTTCTGAATAAGTAGTAAATGCCACACAGCAAATTAAAGACCTTTTCAAACCAATAAACATACATTCAAACAACAGAAGTTGGAAGCATCCCAAAGATGGCAACAACAGCTTCTGAAGACCATGGCAGCAGTCTAACACTGAACCTGTAACTGATGTGGAAAGGCATCAACACTGCAACGCTGTAGGGGTACAGCCACAGATCAAAGACGGTCTGTTAAAGAGTAAAGAAGGTAAATTAAAGGAGAATAAGCATCACCACAATATTGTTAGATGTCTTCAAATACCAATATGACATAAGAGGTGCATGTTTACAGCCTTTATTTCCAATATCACCTTCTGTATTCTGTTCAAAGGGGCTGAATGTACCATGTGCTTCCAAGGAAAAGTTGGCAGTATACGTCACTGATCTAGAAGACAATATAGATTTTACAGTATTCCTTTTGTTACCCTCTACATTGCAGGATGTACACGTGACAGCTAATACTGTGTCAGTATGATTGAATTCCTAAACAGGGCATGGACAACTGAAGTTAGAGATGTGTGGGAGCAATGGACAGAAAACACAAGCCTTCAAGACGTCTTCTGTACAGTATAAAGTATTGAGTCCCTATATGTAAGCTCACGCTAGACCAGCTCAATCAATCACATTAAATGAGGATTTTCTTTCCTTTGGAAATAATAAGGAGGAAAAGCAGTATTATACTACATTACATGTGCGTTCGCATATCCAGTCGTCAGTTAAAAAGGACTTTGTTTTGGGATGACTAGACAGCTTGCCTCTGTCTAGGAAACTAGCTTTGCTGAACACCTCCAAAAGGAGTTCAAGTAAAACAATCAGCCTCCCAGTGAACATGTTTAGAGGGAGGGTAAACAAAACGTTGACAAATCTGTTGTTTTCCTTCAGGTGTCACAGAGCCTCATGAAGCTTTGGGGTCATCCAAACAGCCCAAACTTAGTTAAAGCATGAACTCTCAACATATTGTAATGTCTGGAGGGACACAGCATTCTGTTCACCTGTTCTTGGGTTCCTACTCCATCAGCCCCTCGAGGCAGATGACGCTCTTAGTACCATCCAAGTCCTTTTCCCTCATGTTTTCCCCCTCATTTCGTGTTCTCTGAATAATATTCCCCAAACCACCTCCTATGCATGATGCATACAGCTACAAAAAAGTCAAGAGGAATGAAATAGAGCTACATAAAGATTTAAAGGAAAGCAGCAAGGAAGGGAATTGCATCCCTCACCAACATGCAGCAGGTCATGATGAGCTTTAGTCCTGCAGTAAAAAAAAAAAATCTAAAAACTTTCTCTGAAAATAAAAGAAAGCTTAGATCACCATCAGTCACTGGATAACCTATTTTAAGCCCATCAGAGACAGTGCGCTGATCTCATGTTGCTAATTAAAAATGATAGATGCATCAATTAATCTCTCTTCCTGTCCCCTAGTCTTGATATGAGATTTTTCAAAGGGACAAATGGTAGTTATGGGCCCACAAGTACCATTTCAGTCCTGAAAACTTGTGCCTTTATCAACATAAACCCGACCTTGTCTCTTTACACTATGAAATGACAAAAGGAAAACCAGAGGAAGCTTTGCCACCCTAAAAAACACAACAGATTTATAATTTTGGAATAATCTTATTCTCTGTACGATGAGTATTGCTACATAAACCCTTCCTGGGCTCCAATCTGAACTTGCTCGTTGATAGATGAATAAGCCTCTGTTGAACTTGGCAGAGAGAGATGTCCTATGTTTAGGCTGTTGATTGAAACTCAATTGCAATACTTTCTATGGAGCAGTCAGAGACACTCCACTATTTAGGAAAGAAGCAATGAAGGCAATTTATTTTTATTCACATTGAAATGGAGACAAAGATAAAGGTCCTGCTGCTAGCTTAGCAAAGTGCCAGTCACGTAAAGCAAGCCAACAAAACAGGTTATCTTTTCCCCTTTTAATATATGTATCACCAGGCAGTGAAATAGAATTGGGGTGTACAAGGTTAACAAGCCAGCATCATGTTATGAAGCAAGCGATAAAATTGTCTTACAGTTCTTAACTCTGACCTGTTCCAGTGAAAAGCTGCCAAGCAGAATTATGTCATCCTGAACATTGCTCTCAAACTGTTCAATATATGAAGGAATTTCTTCATCTTCAAGCTCCCTGTGAAGGTCACATGCCTTACTGGAGCTGACAGGCATCACAGAGTCTGGAAAATCTTCACCGGCGACACAGGCTACTTGAAAAAAAAAAAGTGGCAGATTATCTTTTTAGCAAATGGGAGTTCATTCACTGGTTAGTACAGTCTCAGTTAACATGTTTGGCCCACCAACATTTTAAGACATCAATTCGTGCCATAAAATGAACAGTAACAAATAATAACAGTAGAACAAATGGTGGGTTCCAAGTACCATTACCAGGAAAACTCTCCTCAAAAGCAACATCAGCATACAGGTACAAATTTAGCACACACAGCTTGTTCCTTAAAAAATTTTTAAAAGAGGTATGCTGCATTTCCATGGTCATTTTGCTTCCCTGCAAAATCTTAAAGGAATTGGAATTTGGCATGACTGGCTATTGCTCCTGAAGAAGAGAGGGAATAACTGCAATTGAAAGGAAGTTTTAGGCAGAGCCGCACCTAGCATTTCATCTTCCTCCCGCTCACCTCAAAGGATCAGATTCCTCCCCTAGGTGTGTGTGCACAGCTCCTGCCTAATTAATTGGGTCCAGTTCTGCTCTCACCCACATCCTTCACCTAATTGCACTGTCGTGACCTATGTAGAATCAAAGGGTACGATGTGCTGGGCATAAATAAAAATAAATCCCACTCATAAAGTCGATCTTCAAGAGAAGCTGGGTCCCTTTTTTTCAGTTTAATTCATCATGCTACATTAAAAAAAAAAAAATCTTCTCATTGATATCTGCTACAGTACTAATACTAGTTAAGGTCATAAATAATAAAGACAAGTATTTCTGCTCATTTCTCTACGTTAGGATCACTAAGACATGGCAGCTATCAGGTTGTCCACATCTGACTTTATCTTTCTTGCCTCATATTTCTGCATGTAAGTTTTTATAGTTCTCTGTGCTTTTCTCTGAGCCTTTCTCTTCAAGAAACTGCCATATCTAGTTATTTGCTTTTCTCCTTGTCCATCCTAAGACATGAAAGTAGTTAAAAGACTTTTTTTTTCCTCACTCCTCTTTGAAGTTTCTCATTCTTTAATGAAGACCAGAAAAGGAAAGATAAAACTAAGGCTATCAACATTTTCAGTTTTGCTTACTATTCATCGTTTAATGACTTTAATTGTTGAGCCTCCTGAGTACTTAAATCACCTCGGTGCCACCAACACACAGGAAGTAGGGTGGGGTTTTTTGTTTAATTACAACAGGATACAATTCAAAATCATGTTGAGGGAAGTGTACAGTAGATATAAACAACCTAAACCATTACCTTAGGGTACACAATCTCTTCACGTAGCATCTTACAAGCCTAATGAAAAGTGATTTGACCTACAACTATTAACTGAAAAAAACAAAGCAATATTTAAATTTACTGTAACATTAAGGATTTGGCTAGGAGAGAGACAAATCCAGGAAGAACAGGGAAAGAAAACATTGCCAACAGCAGAAGATGCAGCATCGTTTGTTCCCCTCGATGCTGTGCTGTACACAATGGGCCATATGCTCAGCTGGTATAAATCAGCTGCTTTAATGCTTTCACAGGACCAGTGCAAGTTTACATCCTGGCAAGACTGTACATTCTTATCTCAGGATCCTCTGGGTGTAAAGAGATAGCCCTTATATATCAAAAAAGGAATAAAAACATTCAGCTCACAAAGACAACTACTCAGTGATTCATCAAAATATCCTTTTTCTGTTTATTATTTTTTGTGAGGAATTATATCAAGTGAACTCAGCTTTGGTGGAAGACACTGGGCTCATTAAGACATGTTTTGTGGAAAAAGCAAAAAAGAGAGAACGTTTTCAAAAGCCTTTTCAAGGGAAGTAATTGTTAAAAATACAGAGATAAATTATGATTCAGATTTGAAAAATATTTGATGAAAAAAATACACATGCTCATTTAAGCACAGCTGGAAAAACTGTTCATTTGCCCAAGTTGAAGATAGGGAGAGGACAGGGTTGTTCCACCAATCTATTCCTTCCACACTGGCTTTGCAAAGAAACCTCTGAAACTCAGTCGCCATCAGGTTGCTCCTTGTCTGAAGTGACCCGCAAGTTAGAGGCTTGAGATGCCGCCCCGGAGCAATGCTTGACCAAAACAAAGCCTCCACCTCCTTACTGTACAAAAGTAACCACTGTGTTAAAAACGTTACTGCTTTGTACACGCAGGACGAAATGGCTGAGAATTTGCAACAAAGCTCATTGATAGATTGATAAACTAATTAAAAACTGGCTGCTTCAAGTTGTTAGCATTTCCATCAAACTTTTCATTGCCTCGGCTGAACTTAGCACTGCAAGTCACACTTTCCACATGGTTTAAATCACCTCTCCTTAGCACAGGCTCTATTTGCAGATGCTGTGCTGTAATTAAAACAACCTCTCCAGTATTAGCTTGGCTGCTTGTAACTTTGTTTACTCATGCATTTATCCATCAGATAGCAGTGGTTTATACACTGAGATGAGAATTTAAAGGGTAGGTTCTCCAGCAGACTACACCTCAGTGTGGGTTTGAATGTATAAAACAGCTATAAACTCCATATGGAAAATGTATTTTGGCTGCCTGGTTCTAGAAGACTCTGTGTATAAAATGTAGCTAAAAAAGTACATCACCAAAGCCTCATGCATCAGTTTCCGACAACTAAAATGCTGAAAATCCTTGCACTTCACTTTTTCGGTTGTTGCCAAAGAATAATATAATATGAAGTATTTTTTATGGTATTCACTTAGCATCATTTTAGATGTGCATGGATCATGACCTTATGTTGTTTGAGAGATTTTATCCCTAGGTAAAAAATATACAGTCTACATCTTTCTCCAAAAAAAACCAAACCACAATGTTGCCTTTTAAGTTGCCTTGCAATGTGAACTAACACGTATCACAAGAGCATCCAACAGGTTACTCAGTAACAAAATGCTCTAAATATACAATTGTATAAATTTTGAGCCATGTTCTTTCCTTTTGGGATCATCTATTAGTTAGGACTGTATGACTACGTGATTTTTCAGCTCAGTGGTCAAATGAAGGAAAGAAGCAGTTCTCTAAGAGTGGAACCAAGTGAATCCTAATTTTCTATGGATTTTCTGATGTCTAATAAGGGTCAAATTCCCATATTAGCTTTTCCCTCAATGGAGACATTAATAATGCTTGTCTGCTCTGCTCAGCGGCCCACTTCCATAAAACTAGTAGGGAAGTCAGACCTGTGAGACTTGCTTTTTGTTAAAAAAAGGAGGTTGGAAGTGAATAACAGGTTCAAAAACTGGGAGGCAGAAATATGCCTGATATATGCACACAGAGGTGGAGACTGCACAGGCTTTGCTTCCTCAGGAAGATCTTGCTCTCTTCTGGATTTTATTCAGCCAAGCTGAGAAAAGTAAAAAATTCAGCTAGGATGGGGCACAACATTCACCCACGGGACTAGCTCTGATACCCATTATGGTACTTTTAATAAATAAAATCACAGAGGCACTGCTTGAGACACAAGACACCAGTGGGTTGCTCATGCTAGCAGGGGGCGCTTTGACGTGCATCTGGACTGCGAGACACATGTTAATACATTTGCTTGCTCTTGAATTTAATTGGTGAGCTGGCAGCTCAGCAACCTCAGTGAAAGATCACCGTCTGCAGAGTACACCGTGTACGTTCGAATGACTTTGGATGGATGAGAGATTTGAACCTGTCTCACACCCCACAAAGCCAAACTGTAATAAGAGCGTTTTGGCTCTCATGGTCTCTTGATAAAACTTAGTTGGAGAAAAAGACATTTTTGGTTCAAACATACCTGGTGAGTTTAAACTATAAACATTTGAGGTGATCAGTGAAATCTTCTCTCTAAATATGCTATCTGCTATTATCCTCTGTAAAGCATCTGTTCATCTTAACAGTATATTATTTGTAATATAACAAATTTTTAGGCACCTAGCTGAAGGAGAGAGTAACCACTGATGAACAGGGAAGGCTTCCCCTTCACTCCCTGGTTCCCTTGCTTAAAAGTGGATGTTCAATTTGGCTTGCTTACCTTTAGCCATGCAAAAAGCAATTATCACATCTAAGTCAGTCGCCCAAGACCGTTCTAGAGCCAAACGAAAGAGAAGAACTTCTTCCAGGGCATAATTTGTCTAATCAGCTAAGAGATGTCTGCACGAGGTGGGCTGTACTGCTGCCCAGAGTGCTTCTCTTCCCCTCTCCCACCACCATGGGGGAGCCCCAAAAGTTAACTTTCAGAAAGCTAATGGAAAGGGTACTAGACCCCACCCTGGGGCAGCCTGTAAATGACATCAGGACATCTTCCTTAGTCACACAGGGTTATTTTGATGATAAAGTTATTGAAGAATATGAAATGCTATAAATATTGGTAGACGAGGACTGCGTAAGTACCACAGATAGACACACGGTTGTCAACCTTTCCTCTAGAAATAACATTGACTTCATGGCCAAACATGTTTTTATTTTAATCTATGTTGCTGAAGGAGAAAAGCGACAATCAAGCCGCAGCACTGTGATAATCTGTCTCAGCAACGTGGAGCTCTACATTAAAATACAACAATAGAGAGCTTGCTGATAATTTCTTAAAGGTTTTGCTTAAACTATCTGCATGAATTTAGCTGTGACGGATGTACTTTCCTTTCCTTGCATTTAAAATTAGACAAAATGGGTTTTGAAGATGTTACTGGTATGACGAGTCCCAATTCAAGGGGTTTTGCAATCCTACATAAGTGCAAATGTTTACCTCTTCTAGGAAAAAAAAGTTGCTTACAAACTAAATATTCATGAAACATGTTGCAGCTCCTGGAGCTCCAGTGCTGAGGCCAACCTCCTGCTCTCTCTCTGTCAGAGTAGGTCCTGTGTATAACTGAAGTATAACAGGAAACCTCATACAGATTCTAAGAACAGAAAATACTTTTCCACAAAAGACCCCTGCTGAAAAAGGAGGGGGGATACCCTAAAACACAAAGGCAGCTCTGAGCCAGGGCTTCTTCATATGTCACTTCTCCTAGGATGAACCAGAGGAGAGCAACAGACATGCACCTTGTGTAAAGGCTGTGGTGGCAATGAATCATGAATTAACTGGGTGTTAAATAACACCTGTAAAACAAGTAAAGCCAAAGTAAGGCTGTTGGCTTAAGGTGAAGAAATCTCCTACACTTCGTTGTTCTTACCGTAGGAGGAACATCAATTTGTATTTTCTAACAAAGCCACACAAAACATTTTCTTACTCACCTCTTAGTGTAAATCCTAACATAGATAACCTCAAACACTGTGAGGCATGACCCATGCATCTGACAAAAGGCCCACTCATTTATGAGCTTAAATAAGAATGTCGATTTCTAGTTTTGAGCACATAAGCAATCGTATTTCTAGTCTTCTTTCATAAGGGTAGAATTCAACACGTAACGAAGCCGCCTAAAGAAAGCATGCCACTTAAGTTACACTTAAAACCACATAAATATGACTCAAAACAAAAGCATTTGGGGGAAAAGGTCTTAAAGGCTCACATTAAAATCGATGTCCCTTTTGCTTCTGAGTTCAAGGGGATGGATTACCCATTTTCCTCCTTGCATACAGACTCAGAAGAGTTTTCTTTTTCTTTATACAAATTATTTTGTTATTTACCTTGGAGATCCAGCATCTTGTTTTCTTCATTTAAAAGCTTCATCAGTTTACCATACAGGATTTGCTCATCAGATTTCACAGGATCTTAAAAAAAAACCCAACAGCGAAATATCTATTGTTTCTTCCAGTAATATTTCAGGAAACACTGTTTTAAACTATAAATAACAATATAAAAATAAAAAAGTTAAGAAAGCATTTGACACTTTAAAATAGTTTTCACAGGGCTAGTTTCATAGCAGAGGTGACTGTCACTTTCTTCTGATTTATGAGAGAGAGCTTAAAATATTTTTTTTTTTTAAATGGTAAGCAATATTATATCTTGGACTGAAACTGGTTTACTAATTCTGCTAATAAACTACTTGAAATTATTATCTATATTCGAATAGCCAGATGAATTTTATTTGACTCTTAATAAAAATCAAAGTACCTAATTTCTTTTCTAATGTGGTTTTGAATCTTTATTAGAACTTTTACCTTGCTGTCCATAATACTAACACATTATCTAATATGAGTACTCATTACAGCACAGGATGAATTTTGATTTTGTGGCTGGTCAGTCATTCAAATTGCCAGTAACACCTGTAGATTTTAAAAAGGAGCAAGAAACACACACACACCTCTCCCTTTTTCTATGAGACCTAAAAAAAAAAAAATAAATTGAAAATCACTTCAAGTGTCTATATTCAAGGAATAAACGAGCAGTTGAGACCGTCTTCTCTCCAGATCTCTCAGACCCTGGCTCCTGTAAGACATCAGTGAAGACAGGCAGGTAGAAGACCAATGAAATGCACACAAATTAGGTGAATTGAAGTACAGCTACAAGTAACCTTGGGTAGCTCTTTTGAAGTGTCCAATAGAATCTCAAAGAGTAAATTTTCTTTACCACAAAACTTCAGAGGCAAGTTTTTCAATTACGTTGAGCATTCAAAGAGGGAGGCTTCTGCAAATGTCTTCTGCAACTACAGAATCTTTTACATTTCTTTTAGCATGTAACATTGAAATGTTCCCTTGGCAAGGGAGGGAGGCAAATCCATAGTGGGTTGTTGTTTGTTCTCAGGGCATTATCAACTCAGACAAATTTCCAGAAAAAATTTAATTTATCAAATATAGAAAAGATAATTGCCAATATCTTAATTTTCACTGAATAACCCATTAAAGAATCCCATATGATGAACACATTAAAATGATATATAACTTTGTATAATAGAGTTAGTGGCTGAAGATTTGCTTTTCACCAGCTATTCTCTTTGGGCATTGGGCCTGAATTGCGTAAGTAATAAGATGACTGTAACTTTAAAGTGTGCCCTGATTTCTTCATCTTCTGCTTTTCTTGTTAGTGACAAGCTGCTAGCTAGAAAGAGGAGGTAGATAAATGCAGTTTCCAATCAATGGGTGACTGTTCAGGACCAGACTTAAGTTCTGACTGTCCTTTTATCTCTGTTCACTAGACACAAATGTAGGTCTACTTCTATAACATATCTGCAAGGAAAATAAAACCAGACAAGAAACCTGCTTTGTGAGTATCACCAAATCAGACTGGTTGAGGTGCGAAGGGACCTCTGGAGGTCATCTGGTCGGGCCCTTGTGCTCAAACAGGGCCACCTAGAGCTAAGTTGCCCAGGACCACGTCCAGACAGCTTTTCAATACCGCCAAGGTAGAAGACTTGGTCTTGGCAGAGGTGTTGATAAATACAGTGTATAACTGCCCTGCAGATGTCAACACAACCAACCTGAGACCAGTACCATTGCTAACAGACCTTTAATAAGTGTTACCCCAACCTATGAGTGACATTTCTGCTGGGGAGAAAAAGGAGGAATGTCAAAGGACAGCTGTTCACACATGGATCTCAGGTCTACCCTGATATGCAAGTGCCTAAAACCACCTCTCCACTCCCACCCCCAGAAGTGGATGGACTTTCTCAGAGCTTTCAGCTGTTCCAAATTTGAAAAAAACAAACAAACAAACAAACAAACAAAAAAACCCCACAACAACAACAACAAAAAAAACCCACACCCAAGCATTTAAGTATGTGTCACGCAGCTTCTTCAACAGAGGCAAAAGAACATTTCCTCCCTAAGAAAACTGTACTTCCATGTATCCCTTGTGTCACCACTCTATCCATACATGCTTTTAGGTGCACACATACAGTTATAGAAATCTAATCCGCTTTTCATTCTCTGGTTATGAAGAAAATCATGACTCATGAAGCCTTTTCATAAGATGAACCAAGTCAGTACCAACAGAAAAAAAAAAAAACAGCTTTCATTTAAAAACTCTGGGCCAGAAGTTGACTTCCAAGGCAATACATTGCTGTCCTGTACAATGAATAGGAAAATTATAGGGGTTAGATTAGTTCACCCTTGATATACTTCGACTTTTTTTCACCAGTACACAGAAAAACAAGTTACTGATGTGCATTGGAGCCTGCTTTTCTCAAGTCACACGAGATTTTGCCTCGGAAGTTTAAACCTCCATATCTACATGAAGTAAAAGTTTCTCATAAAATTTCAGAAGTGACCTACTTTGAGACCCTTTAGAGCAGGTAAACTTTTTAGATTTGACTACAACAGTGTGTGTATAGAGTCTCTGCAGTACAAATAAGCACAAGATTTAAAAAAGCAAAGTGCTAGCAAGGTAATACAGTAGAATTTGGTCTTGCGTGCTATTGGGTTGTTAGGGCTTAACAACAGGAGCTGGGCCAGAGTATTCAGTGCATAGCTAAGCACTTCATCAGCATGATGATGTTGTTTAAGTCCATGCAAATTCAGGCAGGCCCGTTCCCACCCTTTTTTATCTAAAAGCCATGACAGTGAAGGAGAATTTCCTCCCCTAGACAATACCTCCTAGTTAATCTCTCTCATACCTATGCATAACTTCTGTTCTCCCAGCTCTGCAGAGTCACACCCTCCCACTCCATCTCTGCTAAACTGGCAAAAAGAAAACCAAAAAACCTCCTTGTGTGCTGGGAACTTTCACAGACTCTAGGGTTTCCTTCTGTTTGGCAAATACACGTTCAGCTCAGTAATAAAATTGCTCTCCAGGAAGGACTTTGGGAGCAGGGTTGCAAGAAAGCTGCAGCTTAGTACCCAGTTCTGAACTAACTTTGTTAACTAACGACAACATGGTGTAGACAATGTTCTCAGAGCATGCTTCATTTTGCTATGGTAGGGGAGTGAATACAGCAAAGCCTCACTTCTACCCGTCCATTAACTCACTGTCCTTGATCAAAGACTATGTACACTGCCTGCCGCGTTGAGAGCCATTAAGGCTTGTAATTTAAATTGTAAACTTCAATATTTAAATAGAACTGCATATGTGATCTTTGTCACCTCATTTTTATGAATGGAAAAGAATATTCTGACACCAAAATTACATACTTAATTCTGCCTCACCTTCTTCACTGACCTCCATCCCACACTGCCTTGGGTTTATTTCCTCATCCATCAACGGGTCAAAGTAATTTCTGCTGTATTCATTTCCTGTGGAAAGCACATGAAGTAAGGGTCAGCGATTATTAGAAGCACATGAACCAAAATGTTAATTTTGAAATCGACACCAGCAAGCAAAGGGGCATTTTTTGCTATTTTATAAGCTTAATTTTTTTAACAAGTCCTCTAATCCTACCAGTACTGCAATTATCATCTTGTGAAAGGTCAGAAAAGGTAATTCTGGAAACAAGTGCACTTTATGTTACTTTTGCTCAGGAACTAATGAGAAAATTTCTCAAATTTAGATGATGGAAAGATAGGAAAAATTTAAAAAAAAATCCAACATCCCCAAGATAAGCCAAATTATTCTTGAAACACATTGTACAAGCGAATTACCCATGCAGCAGAGGAATTTGTGTTTCATAGCTGACCCTTCCAATTTCAACAGTTTTAAATTTCACCACTGAGGTTTCAACGTCTAGTGCATCTTTAATACTGTATTCAACCAGAGAAGTGTTTAATTACAGAGGAGATACTAGAATACTGCCTCATTAATCTGAACAGCAATTATATTCAGATGGACTAGGTAACTAATCCAAGATTTTGATGGAATAAACCCACTCATTTTAGTATTTTCCATTTCAACAGCTAGTTTTATCTGCTCTTTAGAAACCAATCAACTCTACAAATAAAAGTCATTTGTTAGACTTATCAAGGAATTATGCAGCATCTAGCTGCCTAGAGGAACTTCCCGTAAAAGCCAGAATTTTCTTTACACAAAGTGGGAGTGAAGGCTTCTTCCTCAAAATATGTCATTCCTTTAGCAGAAGTCCTACACTTCATTAAAACCATCCTCATGTTCATTGGTTTTGCAAACACAGTAAACTACTACTAAACAGAGAAAAAGGAAAATGATTAAGTCCATATCAACTTTTAAAATTGCTGGAATAGACATAGATTTATATCCTGGAAAACACACAAGAGCTAAATATACCAGGGGGCTACTTCATTCAAGATACACTGTAGTAGTCTACAGTGTATTTGTTTTAGGATCAAAAATAATCCAAGCAACAGCTCCTTTTCAGAGACTAAATGAAACTTTGATCTGAAACTAGGTTTAATTTATATTTCCGGACTGGCACATTTTGACTGTCAGTCTCGGTTCCTTCAGTGTAGTAAGTACAAGAACTGAAAATTTGCTTTACCTTGAGGTCTCAATAAAGAAAAAATAAATGAGTTTCATTTTTGTTACTTTATCTGTCAACAACTACTAGGCTAGTATGAATCTTGGCAGTATGTAATCAAAGTCTTATGTACTGCAATAACAGAGCCATTCTACCTTATTCACTGTAATTGTTTTTCTCTAGCACAAAGCACCATGATGTTATATGAACACCCCTTCACACACTGGTAAAATAATTCACCCATGTGCTAAAAAAGAAAATGATGATGCATTTCTTTATTCAATTACTTCACAGTTGTAAATGTAAATTGCTGGAAAGTATGTTGCTACCATAGAAGCAATACTCAGCTAGTGCATAGGCTTTTTACACAGTCTTAATATCACAAGAGTTTTTATTGGTTTTTAATACCCCCTGGTTTTAATCCTGTAGGTCTGGTGTGAAACTGAGAAGTAGACTTTCAGACAACTCTTCTGGACAGAGTAATTGGCGTTTAGGAGGAAGTGTCATATTGTGTTTGAGTCTGTGAGGCATGGAAACCATTATTCAAAAGAGAGATTCATTGACAAATACCATTAAACAGCTTGCTCTTTGGTCCTCTTAAAAAAAAAAAAAAAAAAGAACAACCTCAGCCCTTCTTTGAGGAGTATGAGGTGTTTCATACAGGACTTTGGGCTCTGTAAGAACCACACAGAGCTGGCGACAGAAAATTATACAGAAGTAAAAAAAAGAACCAGGTTTAATCTTTCCAGAGCAACATACACGCTTTAAAATCTACATAGTAAGGTTTAATAAATAGTAAATGCCAGAATCACCTCCTAATGGTGATTTTATAGATAACAGGCCATTTTAAACTGCAGGACTCCAGAGAAGACTTTCAGTGAAGTTTTCTGAAGAGTCGAACTCCCTGCAAACCTTAGATCACTGCTTTTGGTGGGGCTTTCTGGGGTTTTTGATCTTTTTTCCCCCCTCAGCTCAACATACACCTTGAGAACTTGTGTGACCAGGAGGTCTGGGCTCTGGGCAAGTCTTAGGATTTGTTGGGGGCAGAGGGAGTTGCTTTAGTTTTAGAATACAAAATTATCAATTTTAGTCAACATAACATACCGCCCAAGGCATTTTGCTAATAACATTTTGTGAGCATGTGAATGGATTACTAATCATTTCACATTTGCTTTTGGAAATATTTGAAAGTATAACATGTAAATTAACAGTCCACTAAGGAATTCACGTCGCTCTGCTTCGTGATATAAACACAGTAAAGTAAATGTTAATACAGAGCTTGCTTGCAGGTATTTTGAACAGCAGTGTATAGCTTGCTGCTTTCAGACAGCAACTTACTTTGAATACCTGCTCCTATAAAGACTTGGCCAACTTTAGAAACCTCCGTCTTTGCTTTGATCCAGAGGCTCACACAAACCCATTAACTCAATTTGAAAACCTATTCACCCCTCAAAATTGTGTTATTTCGTGTGAAAAACACAATGAACAATTCAGGAAACTGGAATTGAAGTGCAAAACCACAGACTATCTATACATTCAAATAAAAATGGATAGAAGGGTGTTGGCACAACAGTGACCAGGTGGGAATTTATACAGTTTAATTAAAGCAAGAGGAGTCGCTAATAAAATTAGCATAATCCTTGGATGCAGCCCATGGGACTGCGCACGTATTACTAGGACTGGATGAAACTCTAAGATGGCTTTTAAGCTAAGATGTCTGTAGTCAATTATACAATCTATGTCCTGAGAATACCACAGAAATAGCATGACTAAGCTACACTTCCACAATGTCTTCTGCTCCACAGAAAGTCCAGGTAACCTGTATCGGTATTACATCAAGGGTACAGGATGGAATTTGGATGACAGGCAATTATTCCATTTATACAGTACTATCGATCTAGATTTTTAATTAACGAAAGACTAGACAAATCTCAGTTGGATTCATTAAGCACCTCCTGACCAATATAAAAATGAAGGAATTATTAACAGCCAGGTGACTGATTACTAAAAGCTTAAATAAGAATTTACTGGTGCTTGTTTTCAGAATGATGCTGGGTCTTAGTAAAAAAAAGCAAACATTTTGACATGAGTCAGCTTTCATTAGAAGACAAAATGCAGATTATGGTCTGAGCAAACTTGCCTTACTAACAGCTCTCCCTTTTCAGGCAGCAGTGTGGTCAACGTGTCTCTACAAATGACTGCGTAGAACTTTACAGGGCATTACAAAGGCAACTCATAAAAGCCTTGGCATAAGATAGAATAAGACAGAGACATCTTGGAAAGATGAAATTCCAGTCTGAGACAACATTTTGAGCCAAAATGCTTTTGAAACATAGTGATACAGCTGGGAATGGAAAAGAAGAGTCCTCCTTTCCACACAGCTGTCTTAAAACACTGATTTCAGCAGCAATTCCTATTAGAGAATATCGTGGTAAATACTCATTGTCTCCATTCAACAGAACTGAACTTGTTTCCCTAGGGATACTTTTCATTTTACTTTGAGGGTATATCCCTTTCAGCAGCCCAAATATAAGCTTCCATGCTAGTGTGTTTTCCAGTTCTTTATGAGAAGAATATGTGACCGCATGAGCCAAAAAAGCATCCTGGGGTTAGACCTGAATCCTCTCTAAGAGAGGTGCCCACCTCAACTTCGCCAGCAAGAACTAAGACTTGGGATCAGGAGGAAAGGGAGAGAAGGGTCTCACCTCCTGCATTTCCAACTGCTTCACCTATTCGCCCTTCCTCAAGACGTGGCATGTCTTGTGACTAGCAGTCCTGCTCACTTGTTTTCATTATTCAGTACCTACATTGACAAAGCTTGACATCTGCAAATTACTTCTTTGTAGATACAGGTCTTTGCTTCTAATACGCACTTGGGGGGGAGGGGGATCTACAAATAATTACTAAAAAAAAATCAAAATAATTAAAGCATAAGAGAGAAGAAAGAAGCCTCCCCCCTTGAAAAGAACACTCACATAATACAGAAGTAAAGAAAAATAAAAAAATCATCATCAACAACTGCATAAACAGTGAGGATTGCTGGACAGCAAAAAACTGACTGGATTTCCAGTAAATTTATAGATTCTTAGTTGATTCAAACAATGATTTAAAACTGGGAAATAATTTAGGAAAGTTTGAAACTTTTGCAAGAAAATATTTTTGGTTTTTATTCCAAAATTTTGTGTTGCTAGATTTACTCTCACATCTAAATGTCATAAAAATGTTAAAAATAAAAGTTTACTTTTGAACAATACAGTGAATTGATACGTAATCCACAAAACAATGTTAACTCGGTTCTCATTCTAGCAAGAAAAAAAGAGAGAATTATTATGAGTTAACCAGAAACTATACTTTTAGCTTGAATGTTTAATTGTCTTTTCTGAACCATGATATCTGTTACATTTACCTCAGTTCATGGCCATTATGAATGCCTTTAATTAAATTTATATAGGCTGATCTAGGTTACATATAGAAGCTGAATGCCTTAATTAAGACATATTATTTCTATTTTAGATTTACATCTAACATAGTCTATATTGTAAGTATAGATAAATATTATCAATGTTATTTCAGATGTAGATCTACAGTAAGATTCCTCGGAAGCACAAAGTTATTCCAGATTATGACCAAATACGTGAGGTGGTTTAGAGTGTTTCTATGTAGAGCTTCACATTTTCATGAGTATCAGGCAGAATTCAATGAAAAATTACGTGTTAATGGCATCTTCAAACTGAAGAATATTAAGCAAGTGACCAGGCAGTAGATTATAACTTGGAAACACAGCTTGTTAAATACTGCCGTCACCGGGCGACTTCTCAATTTCTAAAAAGTTTTAAGGGTGTTGTATGTCATTTTCCTTATCCTCAG